AAATCATTGAACAATGTCATTAATATTACATGCAATGGGCTAAAGGGGATAGAGATAAATAGTGATATACACACAATCTAGGAGCAACAGTTGTTTTGTTCATAGATTCATGGACTGAGGCATAGGTTGAATGGATAAGAAAAAAAGAATGGGCTTTATATATACTTATATATCCCACAAATATATGAGTTTGAAAGATGATCTTTGTACATGGCTATTTTTACCCTACTTGCAAACACAGCTATGAATGTGATAGAGCATGTTGTTGTTGTTAAATGCCATCGAGTCGGTTCCGCCTCATAGTGACCCCGTATAGGGTTTTCGAGGAGCAGCTGATGGGTTTGAACCACCAACCTTGAGGTCCAGTGCATTATCCTGCAATGCCATGGCATACTGCAGACAGAATGATAAAAACTTCTTAGATATGATCAAACATCTTAAGGCAATAGTTACTAGGCCTGGGGGCTCAGGGGATACCATGGTCAAATGGCATAACATAGTCCACAAAGACAATGTTCTACATCCTACTTTGGTGAGTAGCATCTGAGATCTTAAAAGCCCATGAGTGGCCGTCTAAGATGCAGCTATTGGTCTGTCCATGTGTGGAAGAAACAGGAGTGGTGAGAACTGAAGAGGCTTGGAATCATGAGAACATGTGAACATCAGTCTCCATGACTCTGACACCAGAAGAACTAGATGGTGCCCAGCGACTACTGCCAACTGCTCTGAAAGTGATCATGGTCAAGGGTCCTGGATAGACTGGTAGAAAATGTGGAACAAAACTTAAAATTATTTTGAAAAAAGACTGGGTTTAGTGGTCAGAAGAGACTGGAGGAGCCTGAGACTGTGGTCCTTGACCACCTGCAGGTATAGAAAGGAGCTCATCCTCACTGCCCAGTTTCCTTCCAAGCAGTAAATGGGTACTTAGTAAGGACAACAGCACTAATACGGTATGTTCACCGTGGAATGGTCAGCATTTCCCTAAGGTAAAGGTGAGAAGGGATGGGGAGGGAGGGCGGAATAGAAATAAGAACTTCAGGGAGGTGAAGCAGGCTAACTGTTGTTGCCTGGAGGGGACTGGAATCCTCAGGATGAAGGAACGTGCAGGATTTGTTGACTGGAAAGCTAATGATCTTATCTGTAAACCTTCACTCAATTCACAACAAAAAGTTTAAATAAATAAAACATTTATTTTAAAAAATAATTTTAATAATTTTTTTCTCTAAATCAATTATTAATTAAGAAATCAACTGTTGGTTTATATTCCTGAGTGTTTTTGTGTGCATTTTTTAAAAACTCAATTGTTAATTGATTTAGGGGGGAAAAAATCACAAGCGAGTAAAACTTGACTGAAGATCATTATAATTCCAAAATGGTTTCAGCAGTACATTGACAAGGACCTGCCAGAAATTCAAGCCAGATTCAGAAGAAGACGTAGAGTTTGGGATATCATTGCTGACATCAGATAGATCTTGGCTAAAAGATAAAAATACCAGAAAGGTGTTTACCTGTGGTTTATTGACTATGCAAATGCATTTGGCTGAGTAGGTAATAACAAACTATAGATAACATTGTGAAAAATGGTTATTGCAGAAAATTTCATTTTACTCATGAGGAGCCTGTACATAAATCAAAAGACAGTTATTAGAACAAGGGGATGCTGAGTGGTTTAAACTCAGGAAAGACGTGTGCCAGGGTAGCATTATTTCACCGTACTTATTCAATCTATAAGGAGCTCTGGTAGTGAAGTGGTTATGAGTTGGGCTGGTAACCTCTCAAGATGGGCAGTTTGAAATTACTAGCCACTCTGTGGGAAAAATACGAGGTTCTCGGCTCCCGTAAAGATTTACAGCCTCAGAAACCCTGTACAGAGTCTCTATGAGTCTGAACCAGCTCCACAGCACAGCATCCACTACTATTCCATCAGTATGCTAAAAAACCAACAATCTGAGAAGCTGCATTATATGAAGAAGAACATGTCATCAAAATCGGAGGAAGACTCATTAGTAACCTGTGGTATGCAGATGGCACAGCCTTGCTTACAAGAAGCAAAAAGAACTTGAAGCACTTGCTGATGAAAATCAAAGACTTTTGTATGGATTGTACCTCAATGTAAAGAAAACAAAAATCCTCGCAACTGGGCCAATAAACAACATCATGGTAAATGAAGAAAGATGGAAGTCGTTAATGATTTCATTTTACTTGGACTCCCAATCAATGCTCACAGAAGCAGCAGTCAAGAAATCAAACGTTGATTAGATATTCCTGAGTGTTTTGGGGTACATTTTTTTATAAACTCAAAAAAAACAGGGAATAGAAGCAAATACTGTTGAATGATGATGCACGGAGGGGATTGTAATCATTGCAATGAAACAAAATACGATAGGATGAGTGTAAAACTGATATTCTCCCATGTAAACTATCACTCAATTCACAATAAAAACTTGAAAAAGAAATCAAATGGCACATTGCATTATGCAAATCTGCTGCAAGTGACCTTTTAAAAAAGCATTATAAAGAGCAAACATGTCACTTTGTGCACTGGACTGAAGCCATTGTGTTTTCAAATGCCTCATCTGCCTGTGAGAGCTGGAAAGTGAACAGGGAAGCTGTGTAAGAATCGTGCATGCGAATCCTGGTGTCTATCAGCCGAGAAAACAAAGTACCGTGGACTGCCAGAGCCTTGATAATTCTGTTTTGGAAGAAAGACGGCCACATTGCTTTTTAGAAGAGGATGGTGACACTTTGCTTTTTGTCTTTTGGACATGTGATCAGGAAGGACCAGTCCCTGGAGAAAGACATCATGTTTGATAAAGTGGAGGGTCCATGAAAATGAGATGGATCGGCACAGTGGCATTTGTAACGCTCTGAAACTTAACAACTGTCAGGCTGACACCGACCGGGCGGCCAATGTTTCGTTCTGTTGTACGTTGGGTCGTTATGAGTCAGACCTGACTCCAAGACACCTAACAATAGCAAAATATGTGTCGGCTTGGCTTGACAAGGATTTTCAGTATCATGTAATTCTCCTCTATTTTGTGAACTGATGCTATCATCCTGTGTGTTGTAAATCCTAACATCTAGAAGGTTAAACACCACACATCTGTCAGTTTGTCAAACTGTGGTAGCTTGTGTGTTGCTGTGAGTCTGAAAGGTAGGCCACAGATACTTTAAATATCAGGACAGCCAAACTTCATCTTTAATACTTCCAACATATTATCAGGAGGGACCAGTCGCTGAAGAAGGCTATCATGTTTGGTAAGGTGGAGCGTCAGAGAAAAGGAGGAAGACCCCTAGCAAGATGGATTGGCCAAGCGGCAACATCGATGGGTTCAATTGTGAGAACAATTGTGAGGTTGGCCCAGGACCGGGCAGTGTTTTGTTCTATTGTGCATGGGGTCACTATGAGTCGGTACTGACTCAATGGCACCTAGAAACAACAAGGTCACCCATGGTGGACAGGTTCCAGATGAGCTTCCGGATGAAAACAGACTAGGAAGAAGGAGAGACAGATTACTTCCAAATATTTCATCACTGAAAACCTTATAAATAAGCAGGGGAACACTGTCAACACCAGAATACGATTGTGAGGTTGGCGCAGAACCGGGCAGTGTTTCGTTCTGTTGTGCATAGGGTCGCTATGAGTCGGTACCGACTCGATGGCACCTAACAACAACAACAAGATATTAATGGAGTCCTGATGTGGCGCTGTAGGATAAGCACTAGACCACAAGGTTGGATTGAACCACAAGGTCAGCAGTTCAAATTCACCAACTGCCCCTCAGATACCCTACACAGGATCTCTATGAGTTTGAACCAACTCGATGCACACAACAACAACAAATGATGTTAGTGAGGCAGGATAAGAGGCAGTTATGTTAATGAATAGGATGCAATCTGAAAGATTAGGTTGTATCCTGAGCCCATCTCTTTTGAGATTAAACAAGCAAACAGTGATCAGAGGGACCTTCGTATCACCCACTAAAGACGAGCTGGGAGTGGGGTGTGTCTTCCTTTAGACCCAGGGTCCCTGCAGTGTGCACCTCCTGGCCCAGGAGGTCAGAGCCAAAGCACTGGACATCTCCAAGGGACACGAAGCTCACAGATGTTGAAGACACAAGGATCTCATCTTCTCCAAGAGCTGACACAGAGAGCAAGCCTTCCCCTCGAGGTGATGCCCTGAATTTAGACTTTCAGCTTCCTACACTGTGAGAAAATGTTTCCGTTTGTGAAAACTGGTTTCTTGTTTGGCATTTCTATAGTGGTAACAATAAACAACTCAGAAAAGCATTTTGATGGCAGTACGTCCTTCCAGGTGCTGATCCTAGAAAAGTCACGGGGTCTTGTATCTCATGGACTCCATGTAGCCCACCATCATTCTGTGAAATTCATTTGGCAAATGAGGACACCTAGCCCCCAGAAGTTGTAGCATCTGGCCTGGGTTACTGCTCGTATGTATCTCTCTGGGCTCTAGGCCTGTGAGTAGAAGCAATTAAACCTTGTAGGCCATTTGTCACTGAAACCTCTGTCCTCATCCCACCTTGGAATTTTCCTCGGTGCTGCAGAAACCTGGAGGGTCGCCAAACCATATATACATTACTGGGTAGCCGGGCAACGTGGCCCTCTTTCTGGGAAAGCTCACAATGTGGCCAGTGTTTTGCAGATGCCAGCTTCCAGATGGGAGAAAGACCTTAATCCCCAACTCTGCATCTGCTTAGCACATCTGGCTCCTGATACCTGTTCCCTCTGGCCAGTGTTCACTAGGATTCTGTAGTGTAGTCATCCCGGCACATTCAGTTTCTGATTCTTACATTTCAATCTTTTTACGTTGGAATGAAATGTCAAAAAAAGTTTATGGTCTTTTACAAGGGGTTCCTTGGGTGACAAAGAGTTAAGGTCTCAACTACTGGCCAAAAATTTGGTGGTTGGAACGCATCCAGGGGCGCCTCAGAAGAACGGTCTGACCACCCACTCTGAAAGACCACGGTCTTCCCGAGACTATGGACCTTAGACACCCATCAGGCCTGGAACTGAACTCACCTCTCTGGCTCAATTTTGAGCCAGACAACAGACAGGTCTGTAAGGTGAACGAAAACATCATGGAGGTATACTCTGCTCAGAGCAATCAGCCACAGGCAGCATTCGCCCAGAGAGAGAGCTCAGAAAGCCAGAAGGAACACGGGTGAGTGAGGATGAATGGAGATGCTAATAATACACAAGGAGGAAGTAGGAAAAGTGTTGCTGCATGGTTGGGCTTGTCATCAGTACGTACGCATTGCTGAATGGGAAACTAATTTGTTCAGTAAAGTTTCATCCAAACAACAGTTTTTACAAAAAAAGCAAGAAGAGGTCACAGCCTTGTAAACCCGGAGGAGGAGGAGTGCTACTCTGCACACATGAGGTCGACGTGAGTTGGAATCAACTCGATGGCAACTCACAACACCAACAAAAATCTTTTACTTGTAGAGGGAAGACTAGGGGGAAATCTAAACACAACAGGGACACCTTCACACGATGGTGAGAAAGACCTGATATGATTAAGTAGACAATGTTGTTGTTGTTAAGTGCCGTTGAGTCGATTCTGACCCATAGCGACCTTGTATAGGGTTTCCAAGGAGTAGCTGGTGAGCTTGAATCGCCCACCTTGCAATTCAAACAGCTTTGCAGTCTGGTGCATTAACCCACAGAGCCATACCAGGACTCTAAACAAACAATAGGAGAAGGAAAACGCTGGTAAAGCTAAGACTAGAAGCCCAGCTTCATGAAGTGATTGTGGTTGTTAAGTGCCCGCTGAGACTGTTCCGACTCACGGTATCTCACAGGACGGAGTGGAACTTCCAGGCCTACCTTCCACGGTGCCTCTGGGCAGGTTTAAACCATCCACCTTCCAGCCAGTCAACAAAGCTTAACCCTGAGGGAATGCCAATCAAAAGGGCCCAAGGCTTCCACACCAACCAAAACAATTAAGGCTTTGCCGGCCCGGGTTGGTGCTGAGTGTGTATGTGCTCTTATAGACAGTGGTTGTTATTGCGGTTGTTGCCATCGACTTGTGTAGCCGAGTAGAACTCAGGGTTTTCCATTGGGTGTTCCTGGATGCAATGTTTTTTTAAAAAAAAACATCTTTTTATTGTGAATTGAGTGAAGGTTTACAAGACAAGATCACCAGTTTTACATTCGACAAGTCCTATATTTTATTTCATCTCAATGACTGAAATCCCCTCCATGGAGTAAGAGTTCTCCCGCTTCCTCCCTGGGGTTCCGATTGCCAGTCCACCCTCCTTCCCATTTCTTCTCAACTTCCTCCTTAGGGAAATGTTGCCCTTTTAATTTTGAATGATTGACCTCACCAGAAGAAACACACAGGAATCAAATCAACTACCCCTGTGGGAAGAGACGGTGGAGAAACTCACCATCATCAACTAAAACAAGGCCAGGAGTTGACAGTGGAACAGACCATCACTGCTTCCATGCAAGTTCAGGCGAAGTTGAAGAAAATTAAAACAAATTAGAGTCACAATATGACCTTGAGTGGCGAAGTTGAAGAAAATTAAAACAAATTAGAGCCACACTATGACCTTGAGTATATCCCACCTGAATTTAGAGACCATCTCAAGAACAGATGTGATGCATTAAACACTAATGACTGAAGGCCAGAGAGGTTGTGGAATGACATCAAGAATATCATACATGAGGGAAGTTGTTGTTGTTGTTATGTGCCGTGGAGTTGGTTCCAACTCATAGTGACCCTATACAGTGTTTCCGAGGTTGTAAATCTTTACAGGAGCAGAAAGCCTCAGCTTTCTCCCGCGGAATGCAGCCCGATTCGTGACCACTACGCTACCAGAGCTCCTATGAGGAAAGTAAAAGGTCATTAAAAAGATTGGAAAGAAATAAAAGACCAAAATGTGTGTCAGAAGAGCCTCTGAAGCTTGCTCTGGAACATACAGAAGCTAAAGTAATGATGAAATAAAGGAGTTGAATAGAAAATGTCACAGGGCAGCTTGAGAAGTCATAGTATCACAGTGAAATGTGCAAAGACCTGGACTAAGACCAGCAGAAGGGAAAAGCATGCTCTGCATTTCTCAGGCTGAAAGACCGGAAGACAATAGTCAAAACTCGGTTTGTAATGTTAAAGGATTCTATGCACAAAATATCCAATTACTTAAGAAGCATCAAAAGAAGATGGAAGGAATACATGATCACTTGATATATAAAAACTATAGTCGACGTTAAGCCATTTTAAGCAATAGATTATGATGAAAAGCAAGTGGTTCTGGAGGAAGAAATCCAACCAACACTGAAGGCATTGGTGAATAGCAAGGCACTGTGGGTTAATACGCTGAACTGCAAAGTTGATTTGAACTGCAAGGTCAGTGGTTCAAGCTCACCAGCTGCTCCTTGGAAACCCTATACAGGACAGGGTCACTATGGGTCGGAACAGACTCAACAGCACTTAACAACAGTACTTGATGGGATACAAATTGAAATCTTTCAACAAACTGAGGCAGCACTGGAGATACTCACTCGTCTAAGCCAAAAAATTTGGAAGACAATCCATATTGTTGTCCTTTCCAAAGAAAGGTGACCCAGTAGAATGTGGAAATCATTGGATATCACATGTAAATAAAAGTTTGCTGAAGATAATTAAAAAACTATTACAGCAGTGCATTAACAGGGAACTGCCAGCAATTCAAGCTTGATTCAGAAGAAGAAGTGGAATGAGGCTGAAAGCAGAGAATACCAGAAAAGTATTTGTGAAGTGCTGAGTTGGTTCTGACTCAAAGCTCTCTTGTATAGGACTTCTGAGACTGCAAATCTTTGTGGAAACAGATAGCCTCATCTTTCTTCCATGAAGCAGTTGGTGGGTTTAAACTGTTGATCTTCTGGTTAGCGAGTGCTTACCTTGTAGAGCCACCAGTGCTCCAGAAGAATGTTTACTTGTGCTTTATTG